TCTGGTCTACTTGGATGACATCATCATCGTAGGCCGGACGTTTGATGAACACCTTCAAAACCTGGAACGCGTGCTCATGAAGATTCAGAGTGCCAACCTCAAGTTGAGTCCGAAGAAATGTTCACTATTCAAACGGCAAGTTAACTTTTTGGGGTATGTAGTACCGGAAGAAGGTATCCGCACGGATCCAGAGAAAATCGCAGCTGTCAAGGATTGGCCGGTTCCAAAAGACAAGACGCAGGTTAGAGCATACTTGGGTTTGTGCTCCTATTACCGGCGATTTGTGAAGAACTTTGCAGATATAGCCAAACCTCTGCACAAGCTAACCGAGGAGAAGCGACATTTCTGCTGGGATGAAAATTGCAATATCGCATTCCAGGAGCTCAAGGACCGTCTGTGCAAAACACCTATTTTGGGATACCCTGATGCAAGCAAAGAATTTATAGTTGACACAGACGCAAGTGATATAGGACTTGGCGGTGTATTGTCTCAACGGAATGGTGACCAAGAGGTCGTGATAGCGTACTTCAGCAAGTCATTGTCAAGACTGGAAAGGAACTATTGTGTTACAAGACGCGAATTGCTAGCTGTGGTAAAGTCATTGCAGCATTTTAGCAAATATCTTCTGGGGCGGAAATTTCACTTACGAACTGACCATGCCAAGGCCAGTGCTCCCAAGCCCAAGTGGAGCGACGTCTCAGCGATGAGTTCGACCACTAAAAGCTATTGGGCCCAGTGGGACAGCTTGTTGCTTCAGGATGGAGTTCTCTGCCGTAAATGGGAAAGTGTTCGGGGAGACAGCTGTCATTTGCAAATGGTTGTCCCTAAAGCTAAAGTACCGGATGTTCTACAGCTGTACCATAATGATTACTCAGGAGGCTATCTGGAAGTTAAACGAACTCTTCTGAAGATCCGAGAACGGTTTTACTGGGTCCACTGTCGAAACGATATCGAGGATTGGTGTCGCAAATGTACAAGTTGTGCGGCTGTAAAGGGACCTCAGACTCGTAGTAGAGGTGCATTGAAGTTGTACAATGTTGGTGCACCGTGGGAGAGAATAGCCATTGACGTGGCGGGGCCGTTTCCGGAGAATGAAAGCGGTAACAAGTATTTCATGGTTGTGATGGATTACTTCACTAAGTGGCCAGAAGTCTTCGCCATTCCAAATCAAGAAGCTTCAACAGTAGCAGATAAACTAGTTCATGAATTCATCTGTCGTTTTGGAGTACCTTTAGAGATTCACAGCGATCGAGGAAGGAATTTTGAGTCTCAAATATTCCAGGAAACTTGCCGAGTTATGGGTACTCATAAAACAAGAACGACTTCTTATCACTCGCAATCTGATGGAATGGTAGAACGATTTAATCAGACATTGGAGAGGTACCTAGCAAAAGTTGTAGACAATGGGCAACAAGATTGGGACAAGCACAAGCAACCGTTTTTGTTGTCATATCGAAGCGCTTTTCACGAAAGTACATCAGTGACACCAGCTTTCGCAAACTTTGGGAGAGAATTACGGCTGCCTGCGGACCTGATCACCGGGATACCACCTGATGCTCCACGCAGTATAACCGATTATGCAAATGACTTGCGGAACAAAATGAATGACGTTTATGAGCACGTCAGACAATCGGGCCAGCTAATGTCTGAAAAGGTGAAAACCCGGTACGACCGCAAAATGAACAACAAAGGGTTTGACGAAGGTTCACTTGTGTGGTTGCACAATCCAGTCCGCAGCAAAGGGAAATCTCCTAAGCTTCAAGCTAAATGGGATGGCCCGTATTGTGACCAGGATCAACGATTTAACCTACCGGATAGAGAAAGGCGCAAGAGGGACTCCTAAGATCGTCCATGTGGATCGCCTGGCGCGTTATTATGGGGCCGATAATGCTCGGGACGAGCATGTCTTAGGAGGGGGCAGTGTTACGCGTCTTAGTCGACGGCACTAGCGCCATCTAGTCTCGAACCGAAGAACCCAACTTCGTGAATTTGAAACTCGAACTCTCGGTACCTTGCGCGTGTTTACTTTAATATTCTGGATATTTCCGTGCTAATTTATATAAATAGGCGCTGCAAGATGCGATCGGGGAAGTATTGAAGTTGGCGAGACAAGCGAAGCTTCGGAGCGGAATAAAGTGAATCAGTGTGATTAATTGTTAGTGTTTTTAACTTTAATTAGTGTAAAGTGAATTAAAGTGTTAATCTAGGTAATTCTATCGGCAATTTTTATTGTCACGAACCTCAAGCTCGTAAGAATATATTATAAGTAAATAAATAAATATAAACTTATGAATGTATGAAAGCTACACAATAAAGTTATGTAAAGCATTAGTTACATAAATATTGTTAAATAAGTAAACATCATATAGGTAAATATACTTTAGATACAGATAAATTTATATTAAGTGAGTAATAAATAAATAACATAGAGTAAACCACACTAACACATGCATAGATTATAAGTAATGTAAATTTACAACAAAAAAAAGGCTTTTTTATTTTTATTTTTATTTTATTTATTTTATTTACAAATATACTAAGTATAATGTATAATAAACATGTGAGTTATATGTAGAGAACTCGCAAGCTTATTATACTTTATACTTATTCACTCACACATAACATTAACAACAAAAAGTCAAATAAATAAATTTATAAGTTATATAATCAACTTCCAAAACATGTGAAAGAAGCAACTTTAATCAATATTTTTAAAAGACGATTATTCGAATATTTATAATTATGAAACTATGCATTAAAATTTTAATTGTACCACCGCCTTATAGTCGACAGGAACGCATTGAACTCGCTTCTTGGTTGACGATCGACCAATGTAATTTTTTTTACTACACACACGCACTAAAATTATAATAAGGATAATATTGTTCATGAAATTTTCAGTTCAATTTTCTTAATGAGAAATAAAGTTCTTTAAACCGTATGTATATACCTAAAGGCCTTTAGGTAAAGTAATATGATTCAGCTCGTGTAATCCTTTTCATAGAATAAATGTAACATTACCCTGCAGAAAATAATACAACATTTAATTAAAAGGTGGCTCGAGCGACAGTCGAGTAAAACAATACCTCCACATTGTTCAAAGATACCTTTGCCATCTACATTGTTGCCAGATTTATGAAATTGTTACTTTTTACGAAAATCCCAGTAAGAGATATATAATATATAAAAACAACTTTCTTTTCATGAATAACTAGCTGTATCCTACAATCGCTGCAACTATTTTTTTGTCAAAAACCAAGGCTAAGTAGTAATGGGATGAATGTATGATGATAGTATTGTCACCTATAGAAAACGAACAAAAAAATAAACAAATATTCATATTTTTTGTCAATAAAAAAGAAATAAAGTGTCATCGTAATCGGATGAATGTTAAAGAAACGTAGAGAAGACAAAAAACTATTATCATTTTTTTGTTAGAAACCTACGCGGCTACGCACTCATCAACTTGCTAACATCGTAATCGTATGAATGGCATAGAAACTCATAGAAGAGGAACAAATAATTACATACTTTTCCTTATATATTAAATAAAAGAATGAAACGCAAATAAAAGTAAAGTAGCAGGCTACATACAGTTTTAACCACTGAGCTCATGAATTCTATCATTCCTGAGATGGTATTTAGGTCACCAAAAAGAAAAAATAAACGGTAGCGCATGTGAGCATCCTATGCGTGTTGTTGGCCTATAATGTCTAAATGTTTTGTTCTTTATACATTCACCCCCTTATTTATAGACATTTTACACTGTCTAGCAACAAGTGTCTCACAAATGTCAGAATCAGACAAAACACAATTAAATTAATCAAGATTTTAAATTTTTTTATGAATAAGGGTATCAGGGTTTCTTACGACGATTTTGTTCCGCACTCAACCATGTGATCTTGATAAATCAGCAATTAAAATTTTCATTGGCGCCAGCCTGGATTGAACTCAGTGTCTATAAAATTTTAGGCTCCAATCCCAGTAGAAAAATCTTATCACGTTATTATGCAGTTCGATATTCATAACGAGTCAGATAAGCAAATTACAAACCTTTAAATAACGTCAAAATGTTTATTATCTAGCATTTACTGTAAGCTAACGGTATTACAAAAACATTAGAGTTTAATGATTGCCACATTGTGGAAAGAATTGGAACTGTTCAGCTTAGAGCGTACACAGTACCTGGGTGACCGAGCTTTGCTCGGTTTTAATTAAAAAAATTTATGCAATTAGTTTAATTAAAATTTTCGTATTTTTAAAAATACTTTAATAAGAGGGCTTGAAATAATAGATTTTCTCATAAAAGAAGAGAACTTGAAAAAAAAAAGAAAAAAAATTGAAACGAAGACAGGACGCGAACCAAGGCATGATGATTTCGCGACCGCTCGATATCCACTTGGGCTATTACGATCATTAATACAATGTCAAAAACCTTATATTGTAGCAGTTTTTCATTGTCTTAACACACGGACAAAAAGACATTTTCTAAAAATAAATTCTAGCTAGATCGATTTATTGCCCCCGAAACTCCCTGGACACAAAATTTTATGAAAATCGTTGGAGTCGTTTCCAAGATTCCGATTATATATATATACATATATACAAGAATTGCTCGTTTAAAGGTATAGGTTAAAATTAGGGAAAGTTTTATTTAAAAAACATTAAATTTACTCAATATTACAATAATAACGAGGCTTGTTACTCAGCGGTTACGCGTTCGCCGTATATTTACAATACGTCAGCAACTCTAGTTGGATTCCGTAGGCACCTATGATATAATAATAATAAAGGCGTAGGGAAGTGACGACCCCATCGCCCGCTGACGTAACGGTAATGTGATTGCAGCATTGATGTCAGCGCAGTCAGTCAGCACCTTGCCAAAAGGAGTTAGTGCCGTGCCTCGGCGAAAATTGAAGGTGCAAAGGCCCGCTTGTGCACATGGCCCTACCATGAAACGGTGCCGGGTCTGGGCGTCTCCCGCTAAATGACGCCCAATACTATGGATGATGGAATACGGAAGAATGCGCAAAGGGCCGCTGACTAGAGGACGCCAGGGCACGTCTGGAGAGCGACATCATGCGAACCGCCAGCCGAGCGAGAGGTGCTGCACGACCACCCATCAGCCCCTCGCATCCATCATCCCCACCAGCTGGCTTGATGTCGGCAGGGTCTTCACGGGTCCAGCTATCGGCACCCGCCACTGGTGGAGTACGCCGCATGCGATGAAGAATCGAAATGAATACCAACGCATTGCGGGCGTATTATGGGGCGAAGGGGGGAGAAGTTGGAGGTTTGGCGTATCGGGCTAGGATGTTTCGTCCACTGAAGCCATCTTTAACCATCACAGAGCAAAACCTGGCAGACCGAGTTCGGTATATCTTGCGCTCAAATATATATGATGTCGCCGAACTCGAACGGCTACGACGTGAAGCTGTTCCCTCATCAGATGAAAATGCTACGGCTAAGGATGTGGCGCCACAAATTGCAGAGCAACCCGCAAACGTGGATGCCGCCGTAAATACCCCAGTTGTGGTTGATTCAAACGATGATGGAACAGTTGCTCGGGAAATGGAATTAGAGCATATGAGGAGTACATTGGAAGAGGCGATTGTGGAAACGCGGAGTACGCCTCTCGAAAATCGATCGCGACTTCCCCGCAGAGCCCTAAGCAAGCAGAATCGGGCTATCGTGAGGGCTCTGAATCCAACGCTGGTGACCCATTTGGAAGCCAGCCGGGACCTTTTAGAGACGAACTCAATTCTTTTTGGCGCCGCACTGGCAGTATGCCGTATTATTGGCGCCGAACTTTCCACGGCTGGACGCGCTACTGGACAAAGTAGCGCTATCCCAGCCTGGAGAATAAAAATTGAAGAATGTATCGCAAAGGCTAGGGCCCTCATCGGCAGACTGATATGCTTCAGGTCAGGATGGCATTTGCTGGGACAAATGTTAGTTTGTCCCAACCGGATATAATGCAAAAACTGACGGAGCGCATAGACGACCTGAAGCAGAGAATCGCTGCTTGGGGAAATCGGATTCGGCGATATACCCAATGGTCGACACGGTTCAACCCAAATTGTCTCTTCCAGAGTCATCAGAAGAGGCTCTATTAATCATTGGAGCGACCAATGGTAAGTGGAACGGGCCCAGCACCGAATCAGGCCGACACTGTCGCATTCTGGCGCGGCCTGTGGTCAGACTCCGTAAACCACAGCGAGGGGCTTGGACGGAAGTTGTGACGAGTCAGTGTGCGAGTATTACGCCTATGGACCCCGTCATCATAACGGATGACGTAGCTGAGGCGGTCCGTAGAGCCTCGAACTGGAAAAGTCCGGGACTCAACGGGCTGCATCACTACTGGCTGAAGGGGTTCATGGTGTGTCACGCTGTGCTCGCCCGTCAGTTTCAAGAGGCTCTCAACCAGAAGTCGCTCCCTAGCCTCTTCACTCCTGGGATCACTCATTTAGTTCCTAAAGACCTGGTTACCACAGACCCGAGCAAATACCGCCCCATCACGTGTCTACCGACCATATACAAGACACTAACATCCATTTTGAGCGCGAGAATCACTCGTCACCTGAACTTAAATCAGGTGATGTCGCATGCTCAAAATGGATGTCGGGGCGGTGGTCGTGGAACCAAGGAACCACTCCTCATTGACGCGGTCATTGGCAAAGTGGTAAAACGCAACCATCGGAACTTCTCCGCCACCTGGATAGACTACAGAAAGACATTCGACTCGGTTCCCCACACATGGCTTAAGAGGGTCCTCAAGCTGTACAAGATTGACTGTACAGTTAGAGACTTTCTCGAGCAATGTATGGGGCAGTGGAGTACGATCCTTTGTCATCTGGGTGAGTGGATGACGGCTGCGGAAAGCCGCATAAGGATAAGAAGGGGTATCTTCCAGGGTGATTGTCTGAGTCCAATCTGGGGTTCTGTCTCTCTTTGAACCCGCGGCTCCGGGGGGGCTTGGAAAGGAGGTACAAAAGTGACCCACCTTTTCTATATGGATGTCCTCAAGTTATTCACCTCCAGTCGCTCCCATCTTATGGAATTGCCAAATATCACGTGTGAATTTAGCAGTTCTATTGGAATGGAGCTGGGAACGGATAAGTGTGCGGTCCTCCATGTTGAAAGGGGAAGGGTTGCTAACTCTGAGGGCATGGGCTTATCTATGCCCGTCAACTTAAGGACCCTTTCCGAGGCTGAAACATACCGATACTTGGGCATGTCACAGAACATCGGTATCGATGAGGTTGGTATGAAACAGTCTGCTTGCGACATGTTTTATGCACGCTTGACCAAAATGCTTAACAGCATTTTGTCCGGTGTGAATAAGACACAAGCATATAACGGTTGGGTCATGCCTGTACTCATGTATACCTTTGGCATACTTAGGTGGACTCAGACTGAACTTAATGCCCTGGATAGAAAAGTCCGCACTACTATGACGTCCCATAGGATGCATCATCCGAGATCTTCGATTATGAGGCTGTAATTGCCGCGGAAAAGTGGTGGGCGTGGCTTGTTAAGCGCGCTTACCATGCACAATCGCGAATTGTGCAGTCTCCGTAACTACTTTCTGACGAGATCAGATGATCCATTCTACAGGGACGTCATTTGTTTTGATAAAGGGCTTACTCCTCTATCCTTGGCCAACGAGCAATGGCAAGAACCGGCAGTACAGAGCATTTCCGACCGGGAGACTATGGAAGGAGAAGGAACTCCACGGGAGGTTCTACAAGGCTCTACATGAACCTTTCGTAGACACAGTTGCCTCCCTCAACTGGCTACGTTTCGGTGACCTCTTCGGGGAAACCGAGGGTTTGTCTGTGCGATACAGGATCAGTCTATTAAGACCAACAACTATCGGAGATACATCCTAAAGGATGGCACCGTCGACATCTGTCGAGCTTGTCGCCATCCAGGCGACTCACTTAGGCATGTCATCTCCAGTTGTTCGGCGCTTTCTAATTCTGAGTACTTGCACTGACACAACAAAGTAGCCAGAATTCTACACCAGGAGCTCGTTCTGAAACATGATCTCGTGGACCGGAAACTGCCGTATTGCAACTACTTGCCGGAAGCCTTGCTCGAAAATGACCGCGCCAGGTTCTACCGGGACCGGGCCATCATCACAGACAGGACTATTCTTGCGAATAAGCCTGATATTGTGCTGATGGACCGGGTATAGTCAAGGATATTTTTGGTCGACATTACCATTCCGTATGACGAGAGCCTCGTGAAAGCCGAAACAGATAAGCGAACAAAATATCTGGACCTGGCTCACGAGGTGACTGACGTGTGGGGTGGGCTGTCAACCGAAATTATACCTGTAGTCGTTTCTGCAAACGGGCTAATCCTAGTCAGCCTCTTGGGTCATCTTAGGCGACTGGGACTCCGTGACGAACTGCTTCGGGCTCAAATGCAGAAGGGAGTGCTCCTCGATACTGCCCGCATTGTCCACCGGTTTCTTTTCCTTTCCCCCTAACACTCGGCCGTTTTGTTTCCCATGCCGAGGGCGTCCATCTGGTTGGGGTTTTATTTATCTATGTATTTTTATGTATTTATTTTATTTTATTGTTATTTATGTATATTTATCATTTTCGTTCGCAATTATATATTTATGGAACCCAACCAGATGAGAAAACTATATAGATACCCCGAGATAATAATAATAATTATTTATTTGATACAGACAACAAGGATCAACCGATAGGACAACCTGGTAAGACAAGCAAAAAGTCGATGGATATAGCAGATGGCTAAAGACGTGATTTGTAGCATTACTTGTGGAAGCCTATTTTCAGCATTTGATTTGTGATGGGCCATTTGATATTCTCCGACTTAATCAAGACGTAACAATATAACATTAGTTAATTTGCACAAAATATTCATAAATTTATACCTTCAAAGTTCTCATAAATCAGACTATCAATGGTAAGATGAAGACCTATAATATATATATATATATATATATATATATATATATATATATATATATATATATATATATTAACGACTTTTTATTCAAAAGTATTAGGCTTTAGGTTTTGTACCTTTTATACGATTTTGGATTTGAATGTTTGAATTGTTTTACATTCACAAAAAAGTTTAATTTAATAAATCACTTCAATTCATTAAAATTGTTGATATAACGAGTTCTCGAATGAATTTTATAATTATTAATGAGCTAGGACAAATAAAAAGTGAAAAAGTAATAGAAATCTAGGCTTTATTATATTTGGGATAAAGTACCTAAGGTCTAAGGTCACCTAGTGAAGGACCTTGAGCGTTCTGTCCTTTATATTCCACGCGCTCTCGCTACAATTTATCGCGTAAAAATATGCCCAAAGTTTATTATTTATAAAATCGAATTTTAGTGCTTTGAAAAAATCAAATCTCTAGCGGTCTCATGAGGTCGCACCCACCCACAGCACAATAACCCATAAAAACTTATGTATAGAGACTACATTTCTATGAAGAAATTTGGCATTATATAATCAATATAAAATACTCTATCCTCTAGTGAAATAGAAAAAACTGTTATCCTATGAATATTTATTTATAATATACTTTCATTTCGTACGCCATTTTCGCGTCTATGTTATTGTGTTAATTTTTGGATTTTTCTAGTGTTTTGTTAGTGTTTTAGTATAGTGTTTTATTATAAAACTGTAATAAAAGTTTTTGTGTAAATATAATTTATCTTTTTACGTAAATTATTTCGAGTAATATATATTGAAATAATTGTTATAATAAAAATATTAATCATTTTGCAACCTTCCGCTAACTAAATACAATGATGTGTCTTACCTGGATTGAAGAGCACCTCCCGCCCTCCCTCAATTGACTCCGTCACCACCAGTTCCAGCACCACTACTTCCAACACCACTACTCCTGGAACCACTACTTCCAACACCACTATTCCAGGTAAGACACACCATCCACGACAATACGACACGTGTTTCGCCTCTACAGGATGCATCCTCAGGTGATGTAGACTACGGTAGCTGACCGGTTGCAAAATAATTAATATTTTTAGTATAATGGATTTCCGCAAAGTAACGCCTGATTCTATCAATTATCTGGAATAATTGTTACTTTCACGCTGCCGACATTCGCTTGGTATGTTTTTTTATTTGTTATCAAAATACAATAAAATCTTTTTGTAATGAAGTAAAACCTGACTTCTGTTTAGACCACGAGATACAGAATTTTGTATAGATTTTATAATGCTAAGCTTCTTCATATGTATAATAATAATGTATAAACATTTCCAACCTTACGTTCTCTATCATCAATGGGGCTGAGGGATGCTTCAGTCTAACTTTATGAACTTAATGTTCATCATTAAATTGGCTGACAACATTATGGTTAAGAATAAGGACTTCTTTGTCTAATGTATAATGCAATAAATGAGGCTAGATCGAGATTAAGAGCGTCGTTCCTTAGCTTAGCAAAGTCTATTTTAGAAAAACTGCGCAGATGCAGTAAAGAAGTGGAATATTTAGGAGGTTTAAGCTTATACAGAAGTCAACAAGTCATGACGTGAGATGCCCAAAGCAGATAATTGTTCGTGCATCATCACATGATCCGGAGAAACAACAAAGATTAGATCAATCAATGAGTAATCGGTTCCAATATTGTAATACTTGTGAGCTTTTGGAGCGGGGAGAGTTTTTCAACAAATTTATATTGAAGTCACCCATGGTTATAGAGTGTATATACTCAGAACAAATATCAACGAATTATTTACAGAGCTAAACGACTCAACACCAAACATTATTCATAGACTAAGATAACACATACATTAAATATTAAGTAAACTATAAGACTTATTTATAAAATAAAACACAGTAAACATAACTACCACTATGCTATCAGTTTGCAAAGTAAACTTATTAACTGATTATTAACAACTATTTTTGTCTAATAATATTTAAGATGCATTTGCGACTTATTTAATC